CATGAAGACTTCTCTTGTATAAGCATATCTTGGCGTGCTTCCACACCCTGCACAGCGCATCAAAATCTTTCCTCGCCATGCCGATGCGTCGATTCAGCTCCGCTCCACTCCCACCGTCTGCGTGGAGTATCTCTCCCAGGTACACCATGTTGTCCGTCTGCGTGATCGGTTGGCCGTCAGGGCAAGGGAGCTCTGTCTGGCATCGAGCTGACATTACCTTTAATTTGCTCCAAGTAAATGGCAGGCCATACTTGGATCCGGTCTTCCTGATGCTCTCCATGAGATCCCGGACGCAATCTTCTGCCACGCGTGTCGTCGGCGTAGATCAGCTAGCTCAGGTGCAGCCGGCCTTCTTGACGAATGCCTCTGCTGCGCATGCTGCGCGTCGCGTCGTGCATCAACGGGGTCATCACGATCGAGAAGAGAAGAGGCGACATCGGGCATCCTTGGGAACTTCCGAAGGCTTGTGGCTTTGAGTCGGACATTGACCCCGCGTCGCGCACGCAGAAGCTCCGGTTCGTGTAGATGGCCATGACAGCTGCGGCGAACCTCTCTGACGCACCGAAGCGGACGAGTGCCTGGCCCAGGCTGTCAGGAGACACGCTGTCGAACGCCTTAATTAGCCCAATCGAGTGCGAGAATAATCAATTTACCTGACTTGGAGTCTCAGGTGTCCTCAATCAAACACCTGGCGATGAACGATGCGTCTGCGGTTCCGCGACCAGAAGGGAATCCGCATTGAGTGCTCCAGATGCGCGCTTCGGCCCCTGACATGTTCAGCCGCGACCGCAATATCGTAGCGTATAAATCGTACCCCATTCTTGGAAGAGATTTTGGTCGGTAGTTTCCACTATCGGAAGAATCGCCTTTTCATGAAAATAGCAGAGACGACCGCTTCGTGCCATGCTTCGGGAACGCTGGCTTCCTGCTAGCACCGATCGTACAGTAAGACAGCCCACTGGCAAGCTGGCGCCCCGGCCACGCGCGCGGCCTTCCAGACCCTGGCAGGCATGCCGTCCTTGCTGGCCCGGTTGCGCTTCAGACCTCGCGCGCCGCTTCACACACTCCCTACTCCGTGATCGGCCTTGATTTGTCGGGAGTGCGCCGCCCAAAGGCTGGGGATTGTCGACGGCCGTAGCGTGCCTCACCGCCCACTGCACGGTTTCGAAGCAGTTTGCACGTTTGCGCCCTGACGTCGCTGTCTAACAGGCGCTCTCGTGAGGCTTTCAGTCGGCCTTGCGCGTGGCAGTCGAACCCTTGCGTCAGTCCCCGGTCTGCAGTCGATCGTCAAGCCAAGTGTTCTTTCCTTGCTCCACGGAGACCTCGATCCTGCCATTCGAGATCTTCTCGCGCGCCAGATCCCCTCCGGCCCCAGCTTTGCTCCTGGCCGCGATCAGCTCCGGCGTGGCGTCGCTGATCCACGGGCGTCTCCGAGCTTGCCGGGTCCAGGGCAAACACGCGGAAGCGGAGGCCGAGAGACGTCCGATTCGCCGGCGCCCAGGCGCTCTGCCGCCACGATTGATCCGCCAGAGCGCTGTTGGAGTCTCGCTGGACTGGTGCTCGGGAGAGCTAGGTGGCCACATGCGAACCCTACCCCTGCCCCCCACGATTTCTGAGGGGGAGGGTGGGGTTCACTTCGCTCGGGAGCTCTCGAACGAAGCGAACCCCACCCTCCCCCTCAAAAATCGTGGGGGGTAGGGGTAGGGTTCGCATGTGGCCACCTAAGAGCGCCTGCGCACCAGATTTCTCCGTGCAAAGCTGCTGGGGCTCATCGACGTGAAGCTGAGTGCAGCATGGAGGCAAAAAGTCACAACCCACCAAACCACCCCAACCCAACCCGAAGGCTTCAATTTACCCTCCATTTCCAGTGGGGGGGGGGTCGGGGAACATCGAGAAAACACATGTGGAACCCGTACCCCCCCCAATCCGAAATTCGGGTCTTCGGGTTGGGTTGGGGTGGTCTGGTAGGTAGTCAAAAAATGGTGTGAAGCGAGAGCTATGTTCTTGCTACTTCGGACGTCTGTCACACGCACGTCTCAAATGCGCAACGGTGCATAACAGGAAATCGATTTGGCCCAACTGCTCTGGGACTGCTGGGCTGGACGGCTGCGATCCGACGATCCGACATTGTAGCAGGTAACCTGCTGCTCTTGAGGGTCGTTGAAGAACGCGTTCGTGATCACGAGGTCGTGGGTGCCGCAAAGCTCGAACAGCAGCGTCCGATTGGACGTCGGGTTGTGCTGCGCGGCTGGGTCGCCGAAGATCTACTCTCCCAGGTGGGCGGACTTACCTGCGACGCGACTGTGTAGCCTGGCGCTGAAATCACCCAGCAGGAGGGCTCGTTGCCGCCCAGACACAGCGGATAACTCCTCACCAAGCTTCGTACAAAAATCGCGTCTTGTGACCAAGGGCTTGCCATTGTGGGGGGCGTACACACTGAAGATAGGAAGTTTCCCACCATGGACTCGCAGCTTGATTAACATGATTCTGGCAGATACCATCCAGAAGCCTACGATGCTCCTCCGGGTGTCTGGCGCGACCAGGAAAGCGACGCCGGCAGTCTTCTGATCGTCGGACTCCCTATATTGGACGAAAATGAAATTTGTTCTGTAATGTTGTACACGGGATCCTACTTGCGTGTCTCTTGTAAGGCCAGAACATCATTACCGGTCTCCTCCATGTGAACCCGTAGTTCCTCCGCCTTTGCCTCGGTGAGCCCCTCCACGTTCCAGGAACCCAGAACGACCTCCCTCCCGCAAGGTCGCAGAGTCCCACCTCGGAAACCAGGGCCCCCACCGCCATTGCTCCCAGCACGTGCGTACGGAAGAGATGTCAGTCGGAACAGGTCGAGCAGCACGAGAAGCAGATGTGACAAAGTACAAATTTCCAAATCATCAGGCTCTGCCATTTGGATGGAGTCGAGCGGGAGGCACAAATGATCATTGCGGACCGGACGTGCTGTATGGAAGAAGGATGAGAGGAACCTTAGCGAGAGTAGCTACAGCTCTGCCGCACCTTATAACAGGACTCGTAGCTACGGCGCAGTTCAGCATGGGCAGTACCAGCTTGGCAGGATTTCCAGCGTGTAGGTGTATGCATATGTGTTTACATACATATATAACAAAGTAGATAAGCACACACACACGCACACACACATATATATATATACACACGTGTATACCTCCGAAGGGGCTTGCAGCTAACACGGTAAAGTTTATCAATTAAACGATGCTCGCACAGGGGGCGGCGGATCGAAGACGCCTACAGTGAATCGCCGCCGCCCCTCGCCTTTTGGAAACGCCCATGCGGCCTCTTGTTGGGCCGTAGTGTAGCCAAGTTATTGGACCATGTGTTCCCCCAGCCGTTGTGGACCCCCCTTTCTATGCGGAAGTTGGGGAGAGGAAGAAGATGAGGAGAGGGATGGCGAGGAGGAGGAGGAGGAGGAGGAGGCGGAGGAGAAGGAGGAGGAAGAAAAGGAGGAAGAGGAGGGACGAGAAAAAAAGGCTTCTTGTAGCCCTCTTGGAGCCTTCTGGAGGTTTTCTGGGATTCTTTTTGGAAGGTTGTAAGGCGTTTCTCGGGGGCCTCTTGGGGGTCTCCTGGGGCCTCTTGCGGGCTCTGGGGGCCTCGCAGGAATTCGTTGGCCTTTGGAGGCCTTTTTTTGGGGCCCTCTCTGGGCACTCGTGGGTCCCTCTATGGGCGTTGTAGGGCCGCGCTGGAGGTTTCTGAGGCCGTTTATGGGGCGTCTTGGGCTGTATTGGGGATATGTTGGGCCGTCTTGCGGGCATCTTGGGGGCCTCTTGGGCCGTTCTGGTGTGATTTTAGCGGCCTATGGTGCCGCTTTGGAACGTCGGGAACTCGCAAAGGTGAACGCTTTGACATCCTTGAGATACCAGTAGAGAATCAATGATTTCGGCCTCATGGAAGTCCTCTTGGAAATATCTAGGGTGTCTTAGGAGCCTCCTGGGCTGTCTGGGGGACATCTTGGGCCGTTTTGGGGCCATCTTGCCAGCTTTGGAGGCATATTTGGGGCCGTCTTGGAGGAATCCTTGGCAGTCTTGGAGACATCTTAGCCGTCATCTTGGCCAACTTGAGGCGATTCCGTGTGCACGTTGAGATCTTCACGCGGGTCTTACTTAGCGTGGCCGGCGGGTTGGGCCGAATGTCCCCTAGGAGCGTTTAAAGAGAGCCAGCCATCGCTCAATGTCCGGCACGCCGTACACCCCTGTGGCAAGCCACGAGGGAGCGGCGGATCCTTTTTGGCCTCGGCCCATCCCGATACCGCGCCTGGGTTGTAGGTACGAGGCTTCTCGAGGCCCTTCTGGCCACGTTTGGGGCGCTTGCGGCTCCGAAGAAGTCATGCGGGAACTGCTGGGGAACCGCGGGGGGCCCGTGGGGAACCCCCGGCACTTTGAGAATGTGTGGTCCGGGCGCCATCGTGCTCACGAGGCCGAGGGTTACAAGGGACCTGGCGGCACTCGAACTCGTACCTCGCGGCACGGTGGCGGATCCTTTCTGCTTGTTCATTCGCATTCTGAGTTTGATTATTGTTGATACCTTTATCTTCTTTGTTCGTAGTATTATTGTTGCTATGCGTATTATTAAAGGCATTTCTACCATTACCAGTCGTATGAATGTTATTGATAGAATTCGTCCCACGATTCCTTTCCTTGTTCTTACTGTTGTTAAAAAGTGTTCGCATTAGTGTTCTTATAATTCGATGTGTTCGTTTGATGTTTCTTATTATTCGTCTTATTCTTTCCATGATCGTATTATGAAGTACGTGGTTATCTCCATATATATATATAGGTACCTTTGTATGAATGCATGCATGTATGTGTCTACGGTGTTGAACTTATTTTTGTTGTTATAGTTCGTTTTCATACTTGCGGCTAGTATTATCATTCTGATAATTCGTATTCACTATTCTGGTGATATTCATTTTCAAAGTCATTCGTAGGTTGTTCGTATGTGTTCACGTCTTTGTTCTTCTGCGGCTACATCGTATTCCTCTTCTCGCCGCCGCCGCCGCCGTCGCCGCCCCAGTGCCGTCCGCCCCTTCCCCCCTGCGGCAGGCGCCGCCGCTGCCCTCGCCTGCGGCGCCGCCTCGGTGGCCCTGGCTGCCTCCGCCGCCCGCCGCTCCAAGCAGGCGGGGCCCCCCCGCGGCGCACGGCCCACGGCCGCGGAGCTCTGGGCGCGCACGGCTCGGGGGCCCCCAGGGCGGCGCGGTGGCCACGCCGCGAGGCGAGTCGGTGGGGATTTTGGGGGTCTCCGCAAGGCTTCGAATACATTGTCCATCTACTGTCCACGGCAAGGTTTTTGCAGTTCTTGCATCTTGCTCAGGGCGACCCCTCACAAAGCCAAGATCCCATGCTTTGGGGGAGGAGGTGGGGGAAGAGGCGAAGGATGAGGAGGATAAGGATCAGGAGGAGGAGGAGGAAGAGGAGGATGAGGGTGAGGGCGAGGATGAGGGCGGGGGATAAGGCTCGCGGCGTTTTCCGAGGATGTCTCGGGCGACCAGGGCCTCCAGGGTACCCAGACCTCTTCGGGCCCTATTTGTGGACCAGATCTGAAAAAGGTGCTGTTCAGACTCTGGGGCGCCCCCAGACTCTGGGGTCTGGGGGTTGTTCCGACTTTGTCTCTCGTTGTCCGACTGTGTCTTCTCGCTTCTACCCTCCTCCTCCTTCTCCTGGTCCTCCTCCCTGTTTATCTTCCTACTCTCTCTTCGCCTGCTTTTCCCAGTCCTTTTCTTCCTCTTCCTCCTCTTCCTCCTCCTCCTCCTTCTCCTCAACCTCCTCCAACTCCTCCTCCTCCTCCTCCTCCTCCTCCTCCTCCTCCTCCTCCTCCTCCTCCTCGCCCCCAGTGCGCCCAGGAGGCTTCCAAGATCGCCCCATGACGGCCCCAGGAGGCCCCAAAGACGGCCCCAAGAGGCCTCTAAGACGCCCAAGATGGCCTCCAAGACGGCCCTGAAGCGCCTCAAGAGGACCCCACATCGGTTCAAAAAGCCCCCATGACGGCTTCCGACGGCGTCTGACCCGTCAGACGGGCCAGGAACGCTTTAAGACGGCCAAGGAGAGGCCTTCAAGACGCCCCCAAGGCCCCCAAGAGGCCTAAGGAGGCCCCCAAGAGGCTTCCAAGAGGCCCCGGGGAAGCCCCCAGGAGGTTCCACAAGAGTGCCCCAAGAAGCTCCCGAGAGGCCTCCTCCTCCTCCTCCTCCTTCTCCTCCTCCTCCTCCTCCTTCTCCTCCTCCTCCCTCTCCTGATCCTCCCCCTCAGCCTCCCCCAAGTGTTCCCCGAAGAGTTTCCGGAGCGGCTGGGGGAATACGTAATCAGATAGCTTGGCCAAGCTGGGGCCCAACGTTTGGCCACATAGGCGCTTCTCAAAAAGGCCGGGGGCGGCGGTGATTCGCCGTAGGCGTCTTGGATCCGCCGCCCCCTGTGCTTGCCACGGGGGTGGACGGCGTGCCAGACATTTTGCTGCTCTTGTTATTTTAAAACCCTTCCCAGTGGCCTTCGGCCCAGACCGCCTGCCCTTCGGAAGGACCAGAAGGTGTGGCCCACATCGCCACCAAGACGGCCCAAATGGCCCAAGATGGTCACCAAGATGCCTCCAAGGCGGCTAGGATTGCCCCAAGAGAGCCCAAGACGGCCCCTATATGTCTCCAAGAAGGCCCAAGATGCACACGAGGCGTTCCAAGATGGCCCAGGACGTCCCAAAGGCCCCCAAGAGGCTTCCAATGCAGTCCAAGAAGCCTCCAAGGGGACCTGCAGGAAGGCCCGAAGAGGCAAAGACAGCTGATTTCCCCTGGGCTCTTGACGGATTTTGACGTTTTCGGCCTGCCGACGGCCCAATGCCGCCGAAGAGACCCCCAAGATGGCCCCAAGAGCGCCCAAGAGGCCTTCAAGACGGCCCCATGACGGCCTCCATACGGTCCAAGAGGCCCCCAAGGCGTCTCCAAGACGGCCCACGAGAACTCCAAGGCGCCCACGATGGCCTTCAAGACGGCTCCAAAACGTCCAAGATGGCAGCGATACGATTCGGCATAGCCCCAGGATGGCCCTAGACAGCCCCAGAGGGCCCCAAGGGGATTCAAGGGGCCTCCTAGACAGTCTAGGAAGTCTTCAAGAGGACCTCCAGGAGAGCCCGAAATGCCCAAATGGTTGTATTCCCTTCAACTGTTGAACCATTTGGGCGCGTTTTCTTTTTCGGCTGTCCGACGGCCCAGGATGTCCACAAAATGGCCCCAAGACAGCCCAAGCTGACTTCAAGATTGCCCCCAAAGGGCCCCAAAGGGCGAGGAAACAGTCCAAGAGGAAGAGCAAGAGGAAAGGACGGAATCAGAGGCCCGAAGCGGCTCCGAGAAGCCTGCAGCTCAGCGCGGGCTCGTCTGCGGACGCCTTTGCCCCCCCCCAGGAAAAACATATTACCCCGAGGCCCGGTGATTTTCTGTGGGGCCGCCCTCTCAAGGCCCCACGGCCAGCTTTTGGGTCGACGAGGAGGAGTGGCAGGAGGACGAGGAGGTGATCAAGAGGAACCAGAGGAGCAGGAGAAGCAGGAGGACGAGGAGGTTGAGCAAAGGGTCAAGGACGGAATGAGGCCCGAAGCGGCTCCGAGACCAGACCGCGCTGAGCTGCTCCGAGACCAGACCGCGCTGAGCTGCAGGGTTTTCTTAAGGCCTCTTTCGTCCTTGTCCCCCTGCTCAACCTCCTCGTCCTCCTGCTCCTCCTTCTCCTCGCTTTCGTCTTGATCAACGTCCCTGTCCTCCTGCTCCTCTTCTTCCTCGACCCAAGAGCCGGCCGTGGGGCCTTGAAAGGGCGGAGCCTAAAAAAAGTCACCGGGGGCCTCGGGCTGATTTTTTGTCTGGGGGGGGGCAGAGGCGTCCGCAGACGAACCCGCGCTGAGCTGCAGGCTTCTCGGAGCCGCTGCGGCCAAAAAAAGGCTGCCCTGCAGGCTGTCTCGGAGCCGCTGCGGCCAAAAGAAGGACACTTTGTCGGTTTAACTGTTGGGTCGCTTTTGTCGGCTGATTTCGGGCGCGTCGTCGTCGTCATGGTCGTCGTTGTCGTCGTCGTCGTCCGTCGTCGTCGTCGCCGTCGTCGTCGTCGCCACCATCGTCGTGGGTCGTCGTCGTCGTTGTCGTCGTCGTCGTCTTCGTCGTCGTGTCGTCGCCGTCCATAGGATGGCCCCAAGAGGGCTCTAAGAGGGCTTCAAGAGGGCCCCAAGAGGGCTCCAAGAGGGCCCCAAGAAGGCCCCAGGAGTTATGCACCAACCCAGCGGCCGCTGGAACATAACTCCTGGGGCCCTCTGAGGGCCCTCTTGGAGCCCTCTTGGACCCCTAGATTGCTCTTATCCACCTTTCTCGACCGATTTCTCGAGGTCCATCCAGTCCACACCCCTGGCCACCTCCTCAGGATGGGGTATGATCGGCCGCGCGGTCAGGTCAGGTCAGGGTGAGACGAGATGAGCGTGCCTGCAAGGAGCCCTTCGGCACTCGGCTCGGCCGGACAGGTCTGACACGATTGTCCGGAGGGAGAGGAGACGCGCACTGCCCACAAGGGGGGGGGAGGGGGGCGGTCAGGAAGGGAGAGGGGCGAGAGGGGGGAAAAACGGGGGGGGGGCCGATCTAAGGAGAAGCGGGGGCACCCTTTTTGCACACGGGTGCGGGACGATAGCCCCATCCGTGGCCAGCGACACGCCCCCCCCCCGCCCTAAAAGTCGGCATCCGATCGAGCCCGATCGGCTGCTCGTGCCGCCCTGCGGGATTGAGCCTCTGCGCGAGCTTCCGCTGCGCGCATGCCCAAAGTCTCCGCTCCAGCACGGCACCCGAAACCAAGAGCAAGCAGAATGGCATCCATGCCCGGCATTGGGCACGGGCGCTGACGCGAAAAAGGAGGCAACTTCCTTCCAGTGTCCCCCCGGACTCTTCAGTTGGCTCCCTCCTCTCCTCCGCCTGCAGCTTGGGCTCGCGCGCAGGAGCGAGCCGCGGAGAAGCAGGAGGAAAACGACAGGGGTGGGAGGCAGGGGACCAACCAGGGACAGCTGATTCTCCCTCCGTGGCCACACCGACATGCGCGCTCCACCGCGCACGTGTGGCGATCGAGGGGGACGCCGATCGCCCGAGGGTGACGTCCTGGCCGACGGGGTGCACTCCGGCCTTCAATCGTTTCCGAGCCGTGTGCGCCAGACCTCCAGTGAGCTTCCGAGGGCCCCTGCAAGGCTCGCAGGGGCCTCGCTGGCCCAGGTGGACTGCACACCGCCAGCAGACAGAACAGGAGAGCAGAGGAGGGCCGTCAGGCACACCCGCCTCCGATATCGAATGCTCCTGGGCCCTCCAGGGTCGGCGCACTCTCGGGCATGACTCAGGAGGGGAAAAAACGCACAAACACAATTCATCGTCGACTCCCAAGAAAATATGGGGAAACATGGGAAGAGGGGGGGAAGACAAAGACCCTGAATCTATGGGAACACATGGGGAATCTTTTCATTCGTGTGTATCTATTTGTGTGTCCTGGGGGCCCGTCATCCTCTTCCTCCTCGTCCCCACCAGCCGCCACCGCCTCCGAGGACGCCTGGGGGCCCGTCATCCTCTTCCTCCTCGTCCCCACCGGCCGCCGCCGCCCCCGAGGACGCAGAAGCAGCAGCAGCAGGGGCAGAGAGGGATGCCCCAGCGGAGCGGGATCCGGGTGCGGGGCCTCGGGATCCGTGGGGTCGGGGTCAGTGCCTGGCGGGAGAACTCCGAGGTCCACCAACTTGGCAGGAGGAGGAGGAGGAGGAGGGGGAGGAGGATGATGAGGAGGAGGAGGAGGAGGGGGAGGAGGAGGAGGAGGAGGAGGAGGAGGGAGGAAAAGGAGGGAAAGGAGGAGGAGGAGGAGGAGGAGGAGGAGGAGAAGATGAGGAGAGGATGAGGATGAGGATGAGGATGAGGATGAGGAGGAGAGGAGGAGGAGGAGGAGGAGGAGGAGGAGGAGGAGGAGGAGGAGGAGGAGGAGGAGGAGGAGGAGGGGGGGGGAGGAGGAGGAGGAAGAGGAGGAGGAGGAGGAGGAGGAGGAGGAGGAGGAGGAGGATGAGGAGGAGGAGGAGGAGGAAAAGGATGGAAAGGAGGAGGAGGAGGAGGAGGAGGAAAAGGAGGAGGAGGAGGAGGAGGAGGAGAAGGAGGAGGAAATGGAGGAGGAGCAGGGACGATGCTGAGGTGGGCTGCGGCGCCTTCGTTCTTTCACATGCCTCGGCCGCGCATGATTCGAAGGAAGGCAACTGCAGAAATATAACGTTCGGAGCTCCTCGCGGATCTCTTAGGTCGGATCTAGGCTTGGTTTATGCTTGTCCCGCTTTTTCTTCTTCTCATGATGCGCTAATCCCCTCCTGTCGACACGCCTGGAGCATCTCCCTATTCTTACGACTGGCATCACCCGATCTCGATGTCGACCTCAGGGAGCCTCTCAGTCTCTGAGGGCGCATCCCTGAGATTGCCATCGCACTTGGGCTTGTCAACCTGAGTGATAGGAATCATATCGATCAGGAGAGGAAAAAACACACAGACACAATTATTCTCAATCCCCCAGAAAATATGGGAAAATATGGGAAGTGGGGGGAAGACAAACACCCAGAAAATATGGGAAAATATGGGGGATATTTTTATTTGTGTGTATTTATTTGTGTGTTCCAGTTCCCCTTCAATCGAGAGTGGTTACTCTCCTCCCTCTCCTCTTCCTCTTCTCCCTCTCCTCTTCCTGTCGCCACTGCATCGTCGAACCGTTCTCCAGGCTGCGGTCCCCAGCATGACTCCCGGGTCGGCCCCGTGCGGTGCTCCTGGCTCACCCAGCGAACTCTCGATTCGCGATGCTGTTGTGGCACCCGTTTTTTTTTTTTTTTTTTTTTTTGTGCGAAGAGAAGAGAATCGGGTACAGCCAGCACCCCGGGTAAGGGGACCTGGCTAGTAGTAGGGCCGAAGAGCCCCTAAATCGGCCAGAGTCACTAGACCAGGTCTGCCGCAGCTAGTGTTTTTTTCGGATGGCGGCAGCTCTGGATAGTGGAAAGGGGCGTGGGGGGGCGTCCCCCAGTGCGTATATATATATATATATATATATATGACTAAACCGGGTCCCATTAAACCCAGTTCTGTCAACGCCCGCGAAGAATCGAGGTCGGCCACCTCTTCCTCGCGCCCGGTCCCTCCCCTCCAGCGCGCTCAAGGGGTTTAGGGGCTTAGGGGCTTAGGGGTTTGGGGGTTTGGGGGTTTCGGGGGCTCAGGGGTTTGGAGGTTTAGGGGTTTACTATTTCAGGGGTTTAGGGCCCCCTCCAGCGCGCTCCAGGTCGCCCCTGTCGCGCGCTGCGCCTTCGAGAGCGAGCTCGGAGTCCAGGCTCCTCGGAAGCGGGGAGGGGGTCAGAGCGGGGGGGGGGCAGCGGCAGCGGCAGGAGGGGGAGGCGGAGGGAGGGGGAGGAGGGGTAGGGGGGAGGGCCAGGAGGCGAAGGAGGAGAGGGGGGAGGCGGAGGGGGAGGGGGGGAGGGCCAGGAGACGACGGGGGGGCGGAGGGGGAGGAGGCAGAGCGGGGGGGGCAGCGGCAGCGGCAGTGGCAGGAGGGGGAGGAGGAGCTGGGGGAGGAGAGGGGTTGAGCGTGCGGTGGATGGAGGGACGGAGGGGTCGGATCGGATCGGCCCACCAAACATCGGGTCCGGATGCAAACGAGGAAGAATCGTGTGATCCCACAGCGCCGCACGTGAAGCGGTGGGGATGGCAGGAGGGAGGGAGGAGGATCATGAGGTCGAAGATGGCGATGGTGGTGATGCTGCTGATCGGGTGAGTGGTTACGGGGGGTCTACGGCTGGGGGCCGGAGAAAGCAGCACCCTCGGCACACTTTCTAGGGGCGCTTCAGGGGCCCCGGTTTGTTCTGCACCTGTTGGAGCGTGCTCGGCGCGGGGACTGTGCCAGCGGTTCACTGCGCAGTGGAATCGACACCCGCGAAGCATCTGGCACTACCTGGCCGATGGGGCAGCGTCAGACCCCGATGGGGCTGCGCGGCGACGCCCGGGCCGCGTGCGCGCGGCCGCCGTGGTGCCCCGCCAGAGAGCGGATGCACCTTCGGGGCAGCAGTGGGCTCCTCGAGGGGCGCTCTCGAGCCACGTGTTGGACCCCCCGCGGCAGTGTCGGGCCACTTGTGCGGGCCACGTCCGTGCACGGCAGCTCCTGGCCGCCCGCCGGTGTTGCGCATCTAGGCGTACGAGCGGGAGGCTGCCGCGCGCGCGACGCTCGTGGCGCAATGCGAGGGTCGCACGCATGGGGGAGCCGCCGTCTGAACTGGGACGTTCGAGTCGAGCGACGTGCCATATGTGAGATGGGCTTGCTTAGCCCATCTCACATATGGTACGAGGCCTTCGGCTTCCAGCTCTTTGCTGCCGCGCCCCGAGCGCATGCCAGCGAGCCCTGGCCGACCGTACGGGCGGACCTCGGCAGTGCACTGATGGAGTCGCCAAGCGAGCAAAACAAAACAAATGTGAGATGGGCTTTCGC